CAATGTGTTTCTTAACTGAAGCCAATGAAACAACAAATAGAACATATGCAAAATATTGCAAAACTGGTGATTTAAACTAGGGGTTCTCAACCTTTTTCTTTTGGAGGCCCCCCCAACATGCTATAAAAACTCCATGGCCCAAGGGAGACCTTTGGGCTTCAGCTGCGAGTGGGGGGGGGGGGGCTTCTGCCCCACAGCACTGGGCAGTGCTTGGGAGCCCCATGGTTTGGGGGGCTCCAGGCTTCTGCCCTGCAGGGTGGCTTCTGCTAGGGCTTGGGGCACCTGGGCTCAGAGCTTCAGCTCTGTGGGGTGATGGGACTCGGGACTCCAAGCTTCAGCTGCTGGGTGCCAGGGCTCAGGGGTCCAAGTGGCTCTGCTTGGCAGACCCCCTGAAAGAGTTTGTGGCCCCACAATGGGCCATGGACCCCCGGTTGAGAATCACTGATCTAAACTATATGGCATGATCACAGAATGATAGAAATGTAGGGCTGGAATGGACCTGAAGAGGTCATCTAGTCCATCCCCTAGTGCTGAGGCAGGACCAATTATACCTAGACCATCCCTGATAGGTGTCTGTCTAACCTGTTCTTAAACACCTCCAATGACTGGGATTCCACAGTGTCCCTTGGAAGCCTATTCCAAAATTTAACTACGCTTGCACTTAGGAAGTTTCTGCTTCAGATTAAGCCTACTATCCTACCTTCAGTGGACATGCAGAACAATTGATCACCATCCTCTTTGTAATGGCCCTTAAATATTTGAAGGTCCACCCTCAGTCTTCTTTGCACAAGACTAGACCTTTCCTCATAGGTCAGGTTTCCGAAACCTTTCCCCACCCCCCATCTTTGTTGCTCTCCTGTGGACTCTTTCCAATTTGTCCACATCTTTCTTAAAGTGTGACGCCCAGAACTGGACACAGTGCTCCAACTGAGACCTCACCAATGCTGAGTAGCGCTGGACAATTACCTTCCATTTCTTACACATGACACTTCTGTTACTATAATATAAACTATAATCCCTGTTCAGCATTACTGCTGCCTAGCCAGTTATTCCCCATTTTGTAATTGTGCAGTTGATATTTTTCTTCTTAACTGAAGTACTTTGCATATGTCTATATTGAATTAAATCTTGTTGATTTCAGACCAATTCTCCAATTTGTCAAGGTAGTTTTGAATTCTAATGCTGTCCTCCAAAGTGCTAGCAACCCCTCCCAGCTTGGTGTGGCATTTTTTACAAGTATAGTCGTCTACTCTATTATCCAAGTCATTAATAAAAATATTGAATAGTACTGGACCTAGGATAGATTCCCTGCAAGACCCGACTAGATACCTCTCCCCAGTTTGACTGTTATGTAATACGTATTAGATTTATCATTGACTTTAATGGGACCAGGATGTCATACAAATGTATTAAGTGCACTGACATAAATAAATAGAAAAAAAATGACCAGTTTAGTCATTGCATTAAAAGATAATTTCCAGAGGCTTGATTCCTTCCTCTATACCCAACCTATCAATGCTGTTGATCTTGGAAAAATCATCTAGTAAACAACAAAGATATGCTCAGGTACAACAGCGAATTTTCCAATTTATGCAGAAACATGCTCCCCACAGCAGAAGGTAGGATTGAACCCTTTGTCTAAGATCTGATATGTTCTAAATCAGTCATGCCTAAGTCTATTTGCCCAGTTTGATTAATTTTATTTGATGAGCAAATGAAGTATTATTGTTTTCTTCACTATTGTCATGGTACGGGTGAGTAAGTAGATTTTGTGCCTAAACCAGTCAAGGTTCTAGATAATTTTACAGTGCTTAAATTAAATGGATATGCCTCACATTTCACGTAATTTATAGCTACATGTGTCCAATATATTATGTTTCCATATGGGAGGACTGAAAAACTACACAGCATTAGTAATACAGCTTCCCCCGTCATATTTTTCAGCTGATCATACTTTGGATGTGTGTGGATCTGTTGCCTGGAACTCCCCAAACTAAACCAAACAAAAATATAATCTCAGCCAAAAATCTCTTTTAAATACATTCTCTCTGCTCATGAAAAAGCTTTGACAGGGCCTCCAAGAAAGATATTTTCCCCCTTTTCTTTTCTTAAGAAGTGGTTCATATAATTCCAGCCCATCCTCTATTATTACTTTTTGATTGGTTTCTTTCTTGGCTTCTACACATCCTTGAGCAGTTCTTCCTAGGTGGGCTCTGTAAGCCTTCCCCCTTTTCTTCTATCCCTCAAACCCCTTTGTCAATAAGTCATTCTTCTTCCATGAAAGGCTTCATTGTCATTCCACAACCATTGTCTACTGATCCCAAACTGATAAAAACTGAAGTTAAAAATAAGGAACGTTGGGTCTGCCAAATGTTTAAAAATACATTTAAATCTTTCTCTGTTTATTTAAAGATAGCTAAGAATGAGGATATCTGCAAGGAAATTGGCATGGTTTCCTTCCTCTAGACCAATGAAATACCAATGGAGATTCAATAAAGCAGGGAAAACACAGCTTGGAAAAGTTTATTAAATGATTATATTTTAGCTTCTTCACTTGCAGTTCCCCCAAGGCTATTACTGAAAACCTTCAGAGAAGATCCTGCCTAGAAATATTTTTATTTTATAGAGGCTATGAGCTTTGACGCACCACTGAAGTTCATCAAGATGGCTGGGAATTGGGAAGGCTTATGTTAGGAATGTCCATTCTACATTTTACGATATTTATCCATTTAAAATCCCTGCATTAGAAATTAGTATTCTACCATACTGTGCCATTCCAGAAGGCCATCATGCAGAGAGGCACTTCGCTAATGCTAATTGATGCTAAATGATGGAATCATTATCCATCCGAACCAGTGGACAAGGTAAATAATGTGCTACCTGTTATTGGGCCAACAAAACAAGTTGTAATACACAAGCTTACAGGGCACAGGCCAATAAACAAATAATCAATGTTGACTGGTTGACCTGATAAGTCTATGGATCTGAAATGCCAACAGATCCAGATATGCTACAAGAACTTCGCATGTTACAACTGCTCTGGACAAATCAAAGTTACATGATGGATAAGCAGTTAACAAAGACAATGAACTCTTAAAAAAAAAGCTCTTGTTCTCAGTAAAAAGAATGAGGAAAATTAAATACAGAGAATATCTGATATAGAAACAGAACCATTTCCAAGTGAAACAAAATATTTTTCAGAATTTATCACACGGTATAAAGATTTCTTTAAGGATATCTGTAATTCCTACAATATTATATTGTATCCTTTTTCTTTAACCTCCCCCCCTCCCCAAGAACTAGGAAGTTACATACAAAAACTATGTTAAAAGAATGTTTAGGTTGCACACTCAAGCACTTGAAAAATGAGGAAATGCAGTAAACACCTTCCATAGCTCGAAATGTATCCAGTACATGCTGTGGAATACATTTCCCGTGCTGCTAAACATATCAGGCCAAACACACCTCAGGTACCAGCTAAATGTGGGCGAATGCATTCCTAGTGCTGTCATATGTACCATGTCACTTCCAATTCCCTTTCATTACAAAGTGAAGTGGATGTAACAGCACAGGAAACTGAGCAAGAGAATAGTTTTGTGGCAAATCTTGTTTTATCCTACCAGTTTTCCCATCTGTATCACAGCATTAGATGCGTTGGTGTTCTTCTAGTTTCTTTATGTTTACTTGCTGATAATAAGGGGAAAAACAGTAATGGGATGAATTCTTAGTTCTATGCTGTTGTGGTGGCATGAAGAGGCTGTAAAGTGGGTGGAAACAGCCCCTCATAAGCTGCTTTCATTAGGAGCCTCCTCACCGGTATAGAACTATGACGGAGACCCTATGATGGGCCTGCTCCCATCCCCATTGTAGCAGTGTAGCTGAAGCATGCTGTATTCCAATTATTCTCTGCTCCCTATCATGCCCAGGGGTTGTGGGAAGCAGAGTGGAAATTAGAGCAGCTCTAAGGCTTTCACTTTCCCAATAGAGCGGGAGACTGGTACTGGAAGGAGTATATGGTGTAGTGTTTTTAAACGGTTGTTTCTAAGTCTTTACCTCATACAGCTCCTAGAAGCTTTATGGCTGCCTCTGACACAGGCATAAGGTGTAGCCACCACCATTCCAGCCATAGCTGATCCCCAAGAAAGCATAATATATCTTTTATCGGTGCCCCTCCATCTTGTGCAGGTCACAAAAAGATAGCAGAGCATACAGCACACTCAGTACAGCAGTCCGTATTATAGTTCATAGGGAGCATGTCCTCAGCTCTTCCAATGAAATGTTTATTAATTCACCCAAAGGAAAGAGCATTCTATATATTGTGTAATACTGCATAGCAGGATTCCTATTTTAATGCACTAGACAATTGCATTGTACTTTTGCAGACAGACAGATCCTGTGTGTTGACTAATACTCATCACACAAGTTAGACTATGGAACACGTTCTAATTTGAGACAAGCAATTAAATTGATGTCAGCATTACAAGAACCGTTTGCCAAAACCATTCCCATTCACTAATGTGCTACTTGTTTGGACATAAGCTTGCATTCAAGGTGAAAGGTTTGAACACGTGTTCAGAATAATCCTTCCAAGGGCTTCAAAATCATCATTCTAGCCCCACTAAGTAAAAATGCTTACCAGACTTCAGATCACACCACCCCTGAAAGTATTCCAGCCTGTGCTGCTCACTCATGTCTGTATATTCCCTTTCTGCCTAACAACACATGAGAAGAGAGGAACTCCTAACTGAAGTTACCTACAGTGCAGGGAGCTGCAGTTTCATTTTATATCACATCAGCATTCCTTCGATGCTGGAGCCGGCAGCTCTATGGAAAACCCCAACGTGAGTTTGGGATGATAATGCAATTAAAATGGTGACCGCAGCAAGTGAATACTGAGCTGTACCCATTTATCCAGGACCCTATTGCAATGGTGATGCCTCACTACCAAAAACCAAAAGCAGCCTCCTTTCTGCTTCTTCACAAACCTACAGTTGCAATACCTCATTGATGGCAAGTTGTTCTCCTCCTCCTCCAGGATGGCCATAGCGGTGATTGGAACTCCGAAAGTCCTCATACAGATCCTCCTCGCTTCCCACATCATCTGCAAGAGCTGTCTTATCCAGCGCCCCATCAGTGATCACTGCAACAACAAGAAATGAACTGCTTAACAACACTGCTGAGCAGAGAGACATGAATGACAGCAGATGAAAAAGATCATTAATCTTGGATTTTTAAGTAAATTATTTTAAAATCTGTTCTGTTAGCATGACTGAGAGGTGCCGATTGATGTCACCAGAAATCAAAGTTGTCAGTTTATACAGAGACCAGGAACGGCAAAGGCACTAATAACGCAAACTGTCACATGCAGCCACACAAAAATGGCTAAAACCCAACGTAAAGGAACTACCAGTGCTGCAAGAGGACAGTTCACTACTCATGCCCATTTCAAGTTCTATCTCACTATGGCCCTGATCCTGCAAACCATTATGAACATGCATGAATACGCCCACTGAGATCTGTAGGACTACTCACATGCCCATTAAGTTGAGCACATGCACCAGTGTTTGCAGGATTGGGGCCTAAGTGAAGAGCAAAACAAAAGCTATTTTCACACAAAATCTCAACCTGTGTGCAGGTGAGTGAAGAACTCAACCACCAGCCTCTTCCTATTTTGGCAAACAATGAACAGAGTTAGTCAGAAGAAAAAATAGGAAAGTCAAGGGAATGTAAACTTAAGTTTGGATTCAGGTAGAAATCCTGGGTGGTCGGAGCTGTTTCACCTTCACTAAAGCTTGATTGATACCAGCTTATACGCATCTGAATTTATTACCATCTTTGCTCTTTAATTTTGATAAATGGCGGTTACTTACCTGTAACTAGAAGTTCTTTGAAATGCACAATCCCTATCTGTATTCCACACATGGGATACGCATGCCCACCATGCGCCTGAGTCTGGAATATTTTATAAGCAATGTCTGTTGGCCCACAAATGCACCATAGCTCTCCTCATTATATCTGAACCAAGGGCACAACAGGTGGTGTGGGCCAATGCCTCTCCAGTTCCCATTCTTATCACAGTTTAAATAATCTGCAGCAGAGGGGATAGAGAATACAGATAGGGACCATACATCTGAAAGAACTTCCAGTTACAGGTAAATAACCTCCATTTCTTCTTCGAGTGTTGATGTCTATGTGTATTTCACTCGTGGGAGATTAACAAGCAGTAGTCAGATGGGGAGTGGGTGTGAGGATGCAGAAGTGATAGCTGGTAGTACTGCTGTTCCCACTGCTATATCTGCAGCTGATGACAGGACCAGAGCATAATGTCTCATGAAGGTAATCAAAGAGCTCCAAGTAACTGCCCTACATATCTCTAGAAGGGGAACATCTCTCAGAGATGCAGCCGAAGCAGCTTGCTCTCTAGTGGAATGAGCTCTCACCCTGCTTCTGAGGGGGGAATTTGAGCTAGCTGATAACAAAGGGTAATACAACCCGAAATCCATTTTGAAACTGTCTGCATCAATATAACTTGACCCCTTGATCGCTTTGCTAGGGAAACAAATAGTTTACGTTTTTCTACCATATTTTGTTCTTTGCAGACATACAGCAAAGCCCTTTGGATGTTCAGAGAATGGAGCTCTCTCTCTTCATTTGTGGCATGTGGTTTTGGAAAAAATACCGGTAAGTGAATTAACTGACTCATAAGAAACTTGGAAACTACTTTAGGAACAAAGCTGGTATGGGGTCGTAACAAGACCTTTTCTTTATAGAATGCAGTATATGATGGCTCTACCATGAGCGCTCCCAGCTTGCTGATTCTTCTGGGCTGACATTATGGGTACTAGAAAAGCCACCCTCATGGACAGATGGGCCATAGAGTATGTAGCTAGAGATTCCAAGGGGTGTGGTGTGAGCGATGATAAAACAAAATTAAGGTCACACTAAGGCATGAACTTCACCAATGGTGGAAAGGACCTGAGAATCCCATTCAGAAATCCAGTTGCGACAGGGTGAGTGAAGACGGTACAGTTATCCACCGGAGGATGGAAAGCACTGATCACTGCTATATGCACTCACAGAGAACTGAGTGCAAGACCTGAAGACTTAAGGGTAAGTAAAGATTCTAAGATAGCAGGGATCCCAGCTGATTCTGGAGACGAGTTTCATTGGTGAGTCCAAGAAAAGAAACACTTCCATTTTGCTGAGTAACTGCTTCTTACAGAACCTTTTCTGCTTTGGTTAAGCTGGATTGTAGCCTTTTAGAACATGAGTGCTCTATTTCTGATGTCCATCCAAATATCAAGCCCTGAGTTGCAGACTGGGGTGCTTGAACCTGCCTATGCTGTGTTAGAAGGTCTGGTAATGTGGGGATGTTCATAGGAAGGTGAACTGAGAGCTTCAGCAGATCCATAAACCAGAACTGTCTTGGCCAGATGGGCACAATCAGTATGACACAAGCTCTGTCCTGGTGGATCTTCTGTAGAACTTGTAAAGCATCTAATAGCACTGTTCATTGCCTAAATAAGCACTTGCCACTGAAGGAGTATCTATTACCACCATGGGCATGTAATTCCACTCCTGCAACTTCACGTAAGTGAGGGCACATCGCCTGAAAGCCTGTCTCCTTCTATTGGATGAAACAAGTGCTAAAGTTCTGAGCATGAGTCTGAAGCCAGTGGAGATACAGACTAGATATCAGAAGAGAATAAATGTCATTTACGTTATTTTTACACAAGGAAAAACTGGTTATCTTCTTTAAAGAATAGAACCCTTTTGTACTGTTTTCTCAAGGTTAGTTACAATTTTCTGAAACTCTCTTTTTACCAAGTACATTTTGAGACGCATGTACTGGGTGTTGACCAATATCACTCACTTATTCTATGCTTTTATAAGATATTGTTTATACATTTTCTGATTTGTAAACTCAGAGGATATCATCTTCCTGCTTTTCTGAGACAATAACAATGGTAATAACTGAACAAAATGCTGATTGGCATTTGTATTCTGGTTAGCAACTGCTCTTAGAATAAAGCATACACAGTTTACATGACAAAGAGGTGTACTCCAAGGAGTCTTTCTACGTTATAAAATACAAAGGCAATAACACAATGCCTACAAACAAAACGCAGGTAAAATACACCTGATGGAAGATTTCAGCTCAATGGATTCACTAGTATTGCAGTACTAAAGCTAAATGAAATTAAGATATCAAGAGAAAACATCATCTGGACTCTTGGTGATCTCACTGACCAAGTTACAAATGATGTCATACTCAAAATCCTTGCAGAGCAGATGAAACGCAAGGAAATAATTCTAGAGTCATATAAATAAAAGCTGGGAAAGCCTTATTAGATTATCTAGTCCATGGGTTCTCAACCTTTGCCATCCTGGGACCATCCTGGGATCAGCCCCGCATTTAGCAGTAGGGGAAGGGCAAGGGGGTCATGACTCCTGGGCTCAGAACCATAATCTAGTCCATCTCCCAAGGACTAGTCCAGAATCATTCCCTACAGGGTATTTTCTTGTAGTTTATTTGCTCTCCAAAGAAAACCACCATCCAGAAGTGACACTCTGGTATCATCAGGAAATATGTGGAAAGCCTTCAGCCTGACCAAAAGAAAATCAATAATATCCAAAGCACAAGCTGCAATGATAGGTGGACCAGGAGCAAGTCCAAAAATGTAATCTGATATATCACTGTGAACAACCTCTCATTCAAATCAAAGTAACAGACGCCAAGCGGTACATTTTGAAAGGCCCCAAACATGGGAATTTAGCCATATGACTAAGAGCCCAAAGGAGCTGAGCTTGTGGCCATTGAAGCCAATGGCAAAGCTCCCACTGAATTCAGTGGTGTAATATTAGGTCCTTAACAGCTCTATGAGCTAGACCCTCAGCTGATGTGTACCAGTGTAACTCCACTGAAGTCAACTGCATCACCTTAGGATCTGTCCCTGTAATTCCATGGCAATGCTTTGGAAATACAGTCATAAATTTCCTGCACAGCAGAGATTACAGTAACAACTGCAATGACAGTTCCGTCAGTGCTTCCATTATATGCCATGTTTTGTCAGGGTTTCATAATGCAATCATTTCCAATCACATTGTGTTGAAGCTCACATGTTAGTAATCAGTGAAATGCATTTATTTTACATCATAATGACCGAAGTATGCATCAGATCTGAATGAAACATTTGAAATGTTTACCCTTTAAATGACAATTTACTGAATTCAACAGAAATTTGCAAGGTGACAAAGATCTATTGATTCTCACTTTCATTTGCAAACAAAGCTTCAATTAATTTCAGTGGAAACTATGTGCCTGGGGACAATATGCCCTTATGATTAAAGTGGAGTTTGCTGTGGAATGGTTTAACTGCCCAAGAATTCAGTGTTTTAAGGGATGCTTGACAAAAGCCTGAGTACACATCAAACATATTTCAAATATAAGCTACCGGCACCCTATTGAATGTATGTTCAAAGTATATGTTTCATAGAGAGCAGTTCTCACATATAGAATACTACATATAAAACTCAAAAGTACTGAAACTGCCACCTTCATAATTTTAATCGGTGCAGTTATAAAGGATTCGATTCTGATATTATTTAAATCAACTAATCTACCACCGCTGGTACATCTACCATAGTTTGAGAACTGCTAACATACAGTGTGTGCTACACACTGTACTGTTGATGAACTATTTTGGGGGCAATGTGTGTAATGACAGAAACAAAAGGTACACTTTCAGGAACATAACGGATTGCTTTGTACAGGAGTGAATCATTGTTTAGCCCATCAAAGCTCCTCTTTCTTTGTGTTCTGTCTCCCTTAGCATGGCACCTTATTGATTCCTGCAAGCTTTCATTGCTTTTGCTTTATACCCCCTCTCGACTAGTTGCATTACATAGAGTATAATTTTCGGCCTGAAAAATGTTTCCTGACATCATTAAAGCTTTCTGATTTTGTCATGTTTTCCCAGTTGTACTATGATCAGCTTTATATTTGGGGGGAGCGGGGGGAGGAAAGCTCCATGGAGAATAGCTCTATTATTTAAAATATTCTATACCTCCGGTAAATCTCTGGCCAACTTTATTTAATTTTGCTATATAGCTTTGTTTTTCTTAGTATGTCTTGATTAA